GGAGAGGGAGGGGGGTCAATGGGGGGAAAAAAGGGGACATCTGTTAATATTTCCAACAATAAAGATAAATTTAAAAATAAATAAATAATGTCCACCAAAAGGGGATTGGTCTGTGATACATCATACAACAAAACACTCAATTTATAAAAAATAAAATGAGGCTCTTTATATACTTATATGGTAATAATCTTCAAAATTTAAATTAAAAAACAATTTGAAGAGAGCACTCAATAAACTTCTAGGTATGCACATGTGAATATGCACTGGATGCGTATGTCTAAATTATTTCTGGGAGGGTGGCACCACAGACTGACGACTCGGTTGCCTCTGGGAGGGGAAATGAATACTCACCTGGACAATTGGAGCAGGAGAAAAATTTTCACCATCTTTTGTTACTGTTTGGATTTTTAAAGATATGAATGGTGCCCTGGCTGGTCTGTCTCAGTGGTTAGTGCGTGGGCCCAAGGATTGATGGGTGTGCTGGGTTCGATTCTAGCCAATGACACGTACCTCAGTTACAGGATCAATCCCCGGCCCTAGTCAGGGCCTGTGAGCGAGGCAACCAGTCAATGTGTCTCTCTCACATCCATGTTTGTCTCTCTCGCTCTCTCCCTTCCACTCTCTCTGAAAAGTAATGGAAAAAATACCCTCCAGTGAGGATAAAAATATATACAAATGGCTTAAAATATAAATTTAAAATAATTTTAAAAATGAGTATATTCACGTCAATTATTTATTTGCCATGTAATTTCCAAACCTTATACCAATGAACAAATAGCACTCAAAGTATGTGTGTGTCTTATGAGTAAAAGGAAAGAACATTTAAATACCGTTATTGATGATACACTTCTCAATTTCCGTAAGCTCTTCTTTGAAAGCAATAAAGTATTTGTACAGGGCCCACATGAAAGCCTGGTAAGTTCGAAAGGGAGCTTCAGCCAACTTCTTAAGGATGGATCCGTTCCCGGGAAGCGTGTTCTCAGAGCTGTGCCCCAGGACTTCATCGATGAATGCCTGGAGTCGGAACACAGCCTGGCCATGCGCCGCGATCTGTTCCAGCACTGACCGCAAACAGCTCTGCAGTTGGTGAGGTAAAGATGAAAAACTGCAATGATTAAAGGCAGTCTGCAAGCATTCAACTTCACATCCCCTCACTATAAAATATTACTTTCGTGACTGTTTTTGAATAGTATGCTTAGGAGACAACAAAGTAATAAAGCAAATATTTAGTTTTAGATTCAAAGGATAGTTTGAACATTAATTTCTGCAGAATATGGAATTGTGGGTTAACTTTTTAAAAACACATTTCAGGTAAATGCATTAAAAGCAAAAAAAAAAAAAAAATTACAGCTGTATAGCTTTCCCAATACAGAATGACAAATAAAAAGGAAAAACACAAATTAAAATAAACATAATATCACCAACAATACTCAAGAAATCTCTAAGCACTGTTAAGACTCACAAGTTAATTTTTTCTTTTGGATCTTAAATGTATTTAGTAGTTAGTTTTAATAATGAAAAATGTTCTAAAGTTATACAAACACGGTTTACATAAATCCTATTATTTAATTGTAACTTTAATAAATACAAATAACTTACATGTGTCAAATGGGTTACTATTATGTTGTTTCTCACAGTTACTTTTCCATCAATCAACTGAAATATAAAGAGCTTTTTGACCCCTGAAAGTAACCTGAAATGAAATAAAAAGTGAATGTACTTTAAGTCTCAAAAAATATTCAGTACAGTGCTGATTAGAAATTTGAATAAAAGACTCAGAAGTGGGGGAGGCAGAGAGGTGAGATAATTAGAAAACAGAAGACATTAATCTTTTCATCTGATTACCTTAACTCTCAAGATGTTCAGTATCATCTTAGAGAGAAGCTCACAGCCCTCCCTCACGTAAGAGGTGGTCCAAGGAGACCATCCTCTTTCTAAGAATGTCCACGTGACGTTTTCTGGTAGAGAGGTCCAGACTCTGCAATCTCAGCAGGGACAGCTCTGCATATTGCGCTTTCATTTTCATTTTTGTGTGAACACAATCTAATTTCTTAGACTTTTGGTTTCCAGGTACAAGGCACAGGCTAACTTTCCTTGATGTACTCTGCCTACTATAAGCAGTAAGCAGCAAACTAGGAATCTTGCTTTGAACTCAGAAACTAGAAAAGTGATGGTTTAATCTAATTAAATCATCTATTAAGCTATTCAAAATAAAAAAGAAGTAAATACATCACAGTCTCCATCTCCATGGTTGAAAATGCAGTTTGGGCTTCCAGAGCCCCCAGGGCAAGCTCAGGTGCCCCTGGGCACTGTTCAGGGTCATACCTAACGGCCTATTTCTAGTCTGCATGTGAAAAACCCCTGAACACTTTTCTATCAAAAAACGAACATTCTGTATCTCACTAATTAAGTTTCCTAGACAATTAATTGGGTTAACAGGACTTACCACAGGGTTTCCCGAATAACCTGTGTCTCAGTAACAAAAACCCTGTCATCTGGAAGGTGTAATGGGTCACTGCTGCACAAATGTTGGTCCCTGTTAGAAAGCAAATGTCAAACATGAGAAGGTTTCTCATTTAGTAAAGTTACTTCTCAAACAATATATGCAATTTAGTGGTAATTTAACCAGTAATCAGTAAGCAATTAAACATAACACAAGCTGTAAATGCTGTCCCACATTCACTTTCACAAATCAACTAGAACACTCCCAGAGAGGCACTTTCAGAGCAATCCCAACTGTTATATTTACTGCTGATTCACACAAATATTTAAACTATGTATCTTTTTTTGTCAAAATGGTAATGGTACTTTTTGTAGTAAGTGCACTGAAATGAAAATCAAATAAATGGCCTTATAGCAACCCATTCACTTTGAAAATCAAAATACAGATTATAATTAAATAATTTCATTTTAAAAATAAAAAATATTTAAAAACTTTTCAATTAGCATTGTTTAAAACACACTAAGTTTAAATTCCAGGGAGGTATGTGATTTAAACCACAAATCAAACCAAATATTAACATCAAAGTTTTTTTTAAAACTTTTTTCCCAAAAGACAGGCCAACAAAGCCTAAACTTTATATTGCACTGGCCAGTCTGATGTCGCAGTTTGAAATCTTCATGATCCACAAGATGGCATTCAGGCTCCAACTGCCCAGGGAAGGGGCCAGAGGCAGGAGAGGTCAGCCTCAGGCTATCTACAGGCAGGACAAGGACAGACTTTTCTCAGCAAGTCTGTCACACAGGCACCAGTTACACTTCTCCTTGTCCCCTTTCCCAGCCCTTGACCCCTTCCCCCCGGGACAACCCCCCCTCAGGCCTTCCCCACACTATTGTCTGTGTCTATGGGTTATGCACATATGCATATAAGTTCTTAGGTTAACCCCTTCCCCCCATCCCTGCACTTTCCAGGTCCCACCATGCTGTCTCAGAGGGTAAGGGATCCTTCGTTTTTACAGCTGCATAGTAGTCCGTGGTGTAAATGTCCCAGAAGATGCTTGATACAACTTCAATCTTCTTGAACTTGTAGAGACTTGTTTTGTGTCCTAACATGTGGTCTGTCTTTGAGAATGTCCCATGTGCACTTCAGGAGAATGTATATTCTGCAGCTCTGGGGTGAAATGTTCTGTAAATGTCAGTTAAATCCACCTAATTTAGGGTGTCATTTAGAATCACTGTTTCCTTGTTGATTTTTTTGTCTGGAAGATTTATCCAGTGAAGTCAGTGGGGTGTTACCCCCTACTGTGACTGTATTGCCATTGATTTCTCCTTTAAAGGCCTCCAGAAGTTGGTGGGTTTTTTTGAGCCTGTGTGAGTCTTTGGTTCTGAGGTGGGTCTCTTGTAGACAGCATATATTGAGTCTTATTTACTTATCCATTCAGCTACCCCATGTCCTTTGATTGGAGCATTTAATCCATTTACATTTAAGTTTATTATTGATAGGTACTTATATATTGCCATTTTATTTCTTTATGCCTATGTTTCTCATTCTATTTCAACTTTTTATTACAGCAGTCCCTTTAACATTTCTTGCAATGCTGGTTTGGTGGTGATAAAATCCTTTAGCCTTAGATAATACTAGTACCACACAGCCTCCAACTGCCACTCAGTACAGGTGGGTACGTTAGGGGGAAGGTTCCACTGGAGGGCTGCAAGGGGGCATTAGGGGAAGCAGGGTTTCCTTCTGCATCTTTACTGCTCCAATTCCAACCTAGACCCAAACTGGACACCTACCAGAGATTCAGTTCTGGTGGTCCCTGGCCAAAGTTTCTTCTATTAACAAATTAAATGAAAAATTGAGCTTCTTACCAGACAGCAGCTAAATTGGAGTGCAAATGCAAACTATGAGGAAACCTCGAGGACTGAGCTGTCCAGTACTGATGGACGACATGCTGCTCCAGCCAGCTTCGGGCATCTGGCTCATCCACTAGAGGAAATTTATTATGTTTAAATCATGAGTTAACAAAAAAACACTTGATCAACTTTGCCACAATATCTGAACTTATGACTCCATTCAAATATTTAATAGAAAAAGGCTCTTTAAAATAATAGCTACCACTCTGGCCGGGTGGCTCAGTTGGTTGGAGCATCGTCCTGTATACCAAAAAGGTTGCAGGTTCGATTCCTGGTCAAAGCACATACCTAGGTTGCGGGTTCAATCCCCAGAAGGGTGTGTATGGGAGGCAACTGATCAGCGTTTCTCATATCGATGTTTCTCTTTCTCCCCCCGTTCCTCTCTCTTTAAAATCAATAAAGCATATCCTTGGGCGAGGATTAAAAAATAACTACCACCTGACCACATCTGTGCATATAATCACTTACTTAAAGCCATTTATAACAAAACATAGCCGACCCAAGTTCAGGTCAAGATGACAGAGCAAGTAAACCCTATGCTCACCTCCTCCCACGACGGCATCAAAATTATACCTACACTACAGAACAGCTATCACTGAGAACCGCCTGAAATCTAGGCGAACAGATGTCCTACAGAAAGAAGTCACATCAAGACTGGTAGGAGCAGCAGAGACATGGAACGAGCTGGTCCCACACCCATGTGTCGCAGCTGAGAATCGGGAGGGAAATCTCAGATGCAGAGGTCCCTCAGAGATGCCAAGAGTCCCAGCCACATACCAGGCTCCCCAGCCCAGGGTTCCAGTGCCAGGAAGAAGAGACCCCACAGTATCTGGCTATGAAAACCGGCAGGAATTCCGTCCATCCAGGTGAGACGGGAGTTGCTAGAAACCAAAGGTGCCCACTTAAAGGGCCTGTGCACAGACTCACTTACAAGATACGGAAGCAACCTAAGTGTCCACTGATAGACAACTGGACAAAGAAGTGGTACCTATATACAATGGAATATAACTTAGCCATAAAAAAAAAAAAAAAAAAATTAAATCTTACCATTTTTGACAGCATGGATGGATCTTGAAGGCAATATGCTAAATGAAATAAGTCATATAAATACCATATGATTTCACTTATATGTGGAATCTAGAAAGCAAAGTAAATGAACAAAACAAAAACAGACTCATAGATACAGGGAACAGAGTGGTAGTCGCCATATGGGAAGGGGGCTGGGGAGCTGGGTGAAAAAGGTGAAGGGATTAAGAAGTAGAACTTGGCAGTGACAAAATAGTCACAGGGATGTAAAGTATAGCATAGGGAATATAGCCAAAAATATTGTATTGACTATGTATGGTGTTAGATGTGTTCAAAACTTATTGGAGGGGGGTCTTTGCAAGTTATATAATTGTCGAACCACTATGCTATACACCTGAAAATAATATAATATTAAGGGTCAAATGTAATTAAAAAATTGAAAAAAAAATTTTTTTTAAATAGCTAACCCAATACAATAGGTAGTAAAAAATAAATAAATAACAGAATGATCAAAAAATTGTACCTTAGGAATTCAAGGATGACTCACTATCAGAAAATCTATCAACATGTAGTGGAGTGAAAGAAAAATCACAGTTATCTCTCAATAAAGAATAGTTTTTGCTAACGCTCAATATTTATTCGTTGAACTTTGTTCTATTCCTGTTTTTCTAAAAGTCTCTAATGAATATTAGACTCTTAGAAAAATAGGAATAGAAGGAAACTGTCTCAGTTTGATACCTGGAACCTATACCCAAGCACATCACACTTCATAAAGGAATTTCGGGTGTAACCCTCTAAGGATGAAACCCACCATTTCCACTGCCCCTGATTCCTCTGCAGACTAGATGGCTGGCCAGAAAACATACACTGTCAACATGTCTTGAAGAAGACATAACACATAAAGATCAGCAGAAGGAGATAAAACTGTCAGTATTTGTAGTCGATGCTGATCTATACAAAAAACCCAATGAAATAAACTATTATAATTAAAATGAGAGTCCAGGAAGAATGTTGGATATAAGAACAATTTACAAAGCCCCATAGCGTTCTACACACAATAAATAAAACAAAGAAGGCGCCACTCATAACAAAAACTGATAACACTTGTAGAAACTAACAGGTACTTAAAGTTTTTATAAAGAAAATTTCCAAATTCTAGTAAGAGAATGAGAAGAAATGTAGACATTTTCATAGTAAAGATGTCAAATCTTCCCTAAGCTAAACCTATAAATTCAATACAATCCCAATAAAAATTCCAGCTGGATTTAAAAAATGGGCCTTAGCCCGGCCAGGTGTGGCTCAGCAGTTGAGCATCCACCTAGGATCCAGAGCGCAGTCTGATTCCCTGTCATGGCACATGCCCGGGTTGCGGGCTCGATTCCTGGTCGGGGGTGTGTGGGAGGCAGCCGATCAATGACTCATCACTGATGATTCTATCTCTCTCTCTCCCTCTCCCATCCTCTTTCTGAAATCAATAAAGATATAAAATAAATAAATAAATGTCAATTGAGAAAAGATATAAAAAAAGGGCCTTATCCTACTCCCTCTAAAGCATCTGTGGAAGAGAAAGCTAGGCCAACTCTGGCAAAGAGTAAAGGAGATGAGGGGAGACTTGTCTTCTGTGTGTTGAGACACACTAACAAGCCATAGAAATAAAAATGTGTTCCTCAGCAACGCACATTAAAGGGGAGAATGGACTATTCAGAAATAAATACATGTACTGATATATGATAATGGCAGACCCACAGAGCGATGTGGAAGGAATGGATGACTGACTCTGTGGACAAAAAGGGGCCACATGCTAACCTGACAGCTCAGGGCAGGCCTACATGGCGGCCTAGCAAACTCAGAGACCTAAAAGAACCACAGAGGATGGTCTGAAATGAAAATCTTTTTAACTAAAAAGAGTCTATGGAGGGTAGTCATGCCCAAGGCAGTATTTTTCCCTAACAAAGACTAATTTTCACCTTAGCTAAGCCTGTCCCGGTGTGTAGTTTTTTTTTTTGCACCTGCTATAACATACCTGATTAACATGCCTTTGCAAAAACAAAGTAATTTCCTTTTTTCCATACCCCTCAAAACACAGGCACCCTCTGCAGAGACCACAAATCCTCTCATAGTCATTGTTGAATTAAATGTTGACTGTTAACTATCCTGCACCCACCTAAAAGAAGTGTGTCCATCATTTGACTTTTTATCCAATCCCAGAGGTCCCTCCCTTTGCTTTCTCCCGCCTCCGTAATCTACCCCCAATTGACTTCACGTAACCCACTTGCATCCCCTCTTTCGATTGCAATGTATAAAACAAGGTGCAAAACTGCCATTCTTGGGAGCATTATCTCAACCCATGGAGATTCTGCTTCCCAGCATTTGTCAACAGCTTGGCTCAAATAAACTCACAAAAAATTCTTCACAGGTTTGAATGTTTCTTATGTTAACACCTAGATGCTGCTGGGAAAACTGGCTCAGGACATGAAGGAAAAAATCAGCTGGACCTTTTAACCTCACTTCACACGTAACAGCGAGCCTGGCAATAACTAGAGACAGAAGGAGAACAGAGAAAACTACCAAGACCCAAATACTAATCACACCATGAAAAAGTCACAGGTTTGAAACCAATATAGTATTTTTAAAAATGACATTGTTTGAAGGATGCCATGCAAAATGTTAACAGGTGACTAAGAAAAGATAACTGCAGTGTCTAAAACTGAGGAATTAGTATCTAGTAGACACCCAAAGAAGTTTGAAGGGTAAGACTGGGCAGAAAGGACATGAAACCCAAAAGGAAACAAGCAAGGAGTCAGTAACACTGTAATAACTATGTGTGGCGCCAGGTGGGTGCTGGAACTTGGGGGACCCCTGGGTAAAGTCTGTGACTGTCTACCCACCATGCTGTGCACCTGAAACTAGCAGAGAAAAATACTGAACGGAAACTATAACTGAAAAAGGAAAACAAGCAAAAGGTGTCAATGGGCACCTCGTAGAAGGGGCAAGACAGAGGTGCCTTAGGGACCATAGACCCTCACCCGCAGAGTCACACATGCAAAGGAAAACAGCAGCGGCTCCCATCAGAGGGGGGATCTTATCAAGTAGGGCCAGGTCCATTCGGATGTGGCACTAGGCAGACGGGGTACAGGCAGCCCAGGGCCTGTCCACAGCACACCACTAACAAAAATGTGGGGGTGCAAAGTGAAGAATCCCCCAGAGCAATTGGGAGTAACAAAGATGCTCACAAAGCCATATGGGCAGATTTCACCCAGAGTTTAATGCAGAGAGGAACAGACCGAGTTTACACAGCATCACACCCTTATGTAATTTAAAATCAGAACCCACCAACACAACGTACTTTATAAGTTAACATACACGGGAACAGATATCCGCTCCACCAGAACCGGTGCTGGAACTGGGGGACAAGGTGAGAGGGGATGACCTGAAGAGAAGAAATACACTGACGGCCCTGACGACGTGCTCTGAGCTCCTTAACCCACGCTCTACCCTGACGGTCCACATCAAGGATCAGAGAGCAGGAAAGAGAAGAGAAAACCAGATCATTAGGAGACTAAAATCAGCTTTAACAACTTGTGACCATTAGGCGAGGCTTAAGGGCAGTGTACGGGGCCAGGTCATAGACCTCAGCTTCTGGGGCTCATGTCCCGGCTGTGTGGCCACGGGAAAACCACTGTAACCAGGCCTCTGCTTCCTGATCTACAAAACGAGTAGGAGGATTCGACAACCTAACCTGTAAGGCTGCTTCTGTCTCTTTCCAGATCCTACGAGTTCAGAGCTCTCCACTAACTGAAAGGCAAGACACCCAAGTTGAAATTAAATGGTACAGATCTTTTCCTTTTAGTTACCAACCTGGCAAGGGCAATCCTTCCCCAATAAAAAATAAACTAAAAATAAACTATTTAGGACCAACAAAATTCTCAGAACTATAAGAAAAGAACAAAACTGCAGTCTAAATCCCATTTCAACATTCACTTATAGCGCTACTTCTTAGGAAACCACAGAAGGAAGACCTAAAGATTTAAAAGACCTGTTTTATAAGGATGGCAGAGCTTACCAATATCGCAAATAATATGGAACTGTTCTCAAAGCTTGCCCTCTCTTCTAGAGGATTCTTCTATTAGAAAAGCATGCCGGCATCCACAAACACAGTACCTTTCCAGCTGACACGTGGCCCTGGTTTCCTGCTGTGACTTTGTTCCTCTAACGGTGTCCGATCTGCCTGAATCCCAGAGTCTTCTCTGCTCAAGGGCTGTGGGTCATCTTCATCCCCACTTTCTTCAGACCAATTCTGATTTAGAAAGGAAACACACCTGACCCACAGAAGGCGTAACAACTGAAGCTATTTACCATTAAAAGATGAGGAAAGTTTCAGAAGAAAAGCAGCAACTACACCAAAAGAAACTTTCTAAATGTCTTGGACAGAATTATTTTTGGTGGCAAAAATCCCAAGAGTCACAGCTCCTTAAAGGATACTTTCCATTCAACTTCCTAGTATTAATGATTTGATGCAAAATCTTAATAAATCTCCCATAATAAACTCCTCCAGTTCACTGAAGAGTGTCTCTGTTTCAGTTAGGTTGCTGCAGGAGAGAAGGACCCATAAAAACCATCTGTATCATTTGGAATTTATTTATCTTTTCAATAGCAAAACCTGACACTTACTGGTGTGTCTCCGTTCTGACTAAAGTCAATTTCTTCACCTTCCAGCAAGTATTTTCCCCAGTCAAAATCATCTTTCTTTTCTAAAATGTAACAGAAAAATCTCATCAGCTTTACCAAATATATGTGGGGGGAAAAACACCACAAAACTATAGGAAAAAAGTCTACCAAAACTCAAAATAAAATGCACTTGGGAAATGATTCTAATACATTTTAAATTTCTTTATCTTCAAAAGTAATTTTTCTCTTTATATAATTGAAAGTAGTTCAACTTACAAAGCCTGAATTTATATATTTTAAAATGAAATATAGAAATGAAAATTTCCAATTACATCCAATGCAACAGAAATATTTTAGTTTCATAGATTTTTACAAAGTTTTATAAAAACTCAATGTTGCCTGGCCGGGCGTGGCTCAGCGGTTGAGCATCGACCTAGGATCCAGGAGATCATGGTTCAATCCCCAATCAGGGCACATGCCTGGGTTGTGGGCTCGATTGCCAGTGAGGGGCATGCAGCAGGCAGCTGATCAATGACTCTCTCATCATTGATGTTTCTATCTCTCTCTCTCCTTCACCCTTCCTCTCTTGGAAATCAATAAAGATATATTTAAAAAAGCAAAAACAAAACTCGATATGTCTACCAATTAAGGAACAGAACTAAGTTTTCTTTTATGTTATATATTAAAGCATCTGATCACATACCCACTTCTTTATCTCGTGGTGTCTCCACGTAGCTGCTGTTTGAAGGAGAGTCAGACAGGCACAGGAGGAGTGACAGTGTGGAATAGTGAGCATCAGTCTTTAAAGGAAAAAGTGAAGACGATGAGCCACTGGCTGGTAAGAGCTTTTAAAACCAGTTTGAGTAAAGAAAAGATACTCTCATGACTGTTATCCCTGAGTTTCTTCCCAGTTTGAAAATATGAATTATACCTAAATAAGTCCTAACCTCTAAACTATTCTTTTAAATTTTATTTTTCAATTACAGTTTCCATTCAATATTATTTTGTATTAGTTCCAGGTATATAGTGATCCCCCAATATTTCAATTACCCACCTGGCACCATACACAGTCATCACCATATCACTGACTATATTTCCTATGCTGTACTTTACATCCCTGACTATTCTGTAACTACCAATTTGTACTTCTTAACCCCTTCACCTTTTCACCCAGTTTCCCAAACCCTTTCCTCTCACAACCACCAGTCTCTTCTCTATCTATGAGTCTGTTTCTGTTTTATTTATTTTGTCCTTTAGATCCCATATATAAGTAAAATCATATGGTATTTTTCTTTCTCTGCCTTACTTATTTCACTTAGCAAAACACCCTCTAGCTCCATCCATGCTGTTGCAAATGGTAAGATTTCATTCTTTTTATTGCCAAGGAATAGTCCATTTTACATATGTACCACTCTATTTTTACAATTCAAATGTGTATACATAAGGAACCTGTCAAAAATGCATTACCTGACCTAGCCAGTTTCGCTCAGTGGATAAAGTGTCAGCCCAAGGAGTGGAGGGTTCCAGGTTACATTCCAGCCAAAGGCACGTACCTTGGTTGCACGCTCAATCCTCAGCCCTGGCCCTGGTCGATCCGGAGGCAATCAATCAATGTGTCTCTCTCACATCGATGTTTCTCTCCCCTCCCCCCTGACTCCATCCACCCTTCCACTCTCTCTGAAAAAGCAATGGAAAAAATATCCTCAAGTGAGGATTAAAAAAAATGCATTACCTAAATCATAATGAGGAATCATCAGACAAACCTAAATTGAGTGGCAAGCTACCAAATAATTGGCCTGTGCAATTAATTCAGAATGTCAAGGTCTAGAAAAAGAGAGGCTAAGGAACTATTCCAGATTAGACACCAATTGCTGAACCTGGGCAAGGGATTACAGGCGTTCCTTTTACTATTCTTTAACTTTTTTTTATATTTTTTAAAACTTAAATTATATTTTTAAAAAGTTACCAAAAAATAAAAATACCCCAAATGTGCTAAAAGTCATAAAGTATGCATAGAAAGGAGATACGGGTTAAATTCAAGGAAGGTACAGGAAGTCTCTCATGCCTAAAGACCAGTTAATTCTCCCTGTTCTGTAGTCCAGAGCACCTTCTGTGCATCTCCACAGTGTTAATAACAATCATAATTAAGTAACTATTTAGTGGTATCATGTCTTCTTTATTCTGTATTTCCACCACTTAGTATGATGCTAGACAGAACAGACACTTGGCAAGCTTTCTTGGAAATGATAAAGGAATATATCACCAATAAGGTTGCAGGGAGCATCCCTTTTATTGGTAATGTCTCGCCTGCTTAAAAATGTGTGAAATTCCTTCACAAAGAAATTTTATTCCCTAGAGAAAAGTAATCTAAAATGTAAATACAGTTGACCCTTGAACAACTCGGGGGCCAGGGGTGCTGATGGTCCATACAATAAAAAAATCCACATGTAACTTAATCTACAGGTGAATCCCCAACTCCCAGCCGGCCCTTGAACAACCTGGGTTTGAACTGTGTGGCTCAGCTGAAGAAAGTGAGTCTCTACATGTAACTGGACCACATTGTTCAGGGTCGACTGTGCTTGAAGAAAATCACTCTCACTATATAAATCTATTATTTATTAACAAGTGCTGTCAGATTGGGTTTTGCACCTGAAAGAGGTGAAAGTTACCAGTGAAAGAGGAAAGACATGTGTAATCCGCTTCTGGCATAATGGAGGGAGGTGGTCCTCAAATCCTCTCGCCAAAAACTAGTTATAAAGCTGCATAAAAGTGCCAAGGCGACCATTTCAAGTGCTCTCCCTCAAACACAGGAACTATTAACCCATAAAAATGACCTTGTAACCACTCAGAAGCTCCATTTCTTAAACATGACCCTTTCTCTTTTCTGTCCACTCCCTTCCTTAATCATTTAGCCCTTAGGACATCAGATTCTGGTTAGCATCAAACTGTCTTAAGAACAAAGTCTCAGGTCTGTTGACAAGAGAAACAGAGTTCCAGTCAAGGTAAAAACACCTTAACTTCAGGTGTGTTTCAGCCCCAGACCCACGGACCACACCCTCAGGAAATCAGACAGAACGCTGCCATGGCTGACCTCAGGACCTGATAGGATCATCAACTACTCCCTACCTGGCCACAACCAACTTTTAGAGCCCATGAACCCAACTCCCTCTATATAACCCATCCCTGGAAGCCATTGAGGAGCCAGGTCTTTGGGCCTTAGCTTACCTGTGACTTGGGCTTGACACCATTTCCTCAACTAATAAACCCTTACTTTCTTGGTTGCAAACTCCTGATCACATTTGACAGGGCTTCGATGCATGCAGGCCAACATGCATGCATCTTTTATGCAGCTTTAGTCTGTTAACAACCTCAGGTAAGAATGGTGTAGGTTAGTGGCACCTTTGCCTGGGGCCATCTCCTCCCCTCCCTCTAGCTCTCTTAGAGTGGTAGTTCAACCAGGACTGGACAGGAAGTGAAAACAAGCAGCCTTGTTGCTATTCTCAGAGGAGGTTCACTTGAACCCAAGCCCTGTCAGTTAAAGTGGCAACTGCAGTGGCAAATGAGCAGAGAGCCAGCAATTGCCAGCCTGTGTGGAGAAAGGAGTGGGTCAACAGAACAGCCAGATTCTGGCTGCCAGACAGCCAAAGGGGGCTTTCTAAGCTCTCCACGTGTCCAGCTCACTAGAGGCTGTAATGTGAACAGCAGAGCTTGAGTGGACCCAAGCCACCCCACACATATCCCTGGCCAGGGGAGCAGAGTCCATGCACAGAGAAGATGAGAGCCAGCAGAGCATAAACCAGGACAGTCTCAAAAATGGCCTTCAGTATGACTACTTCTCAGTCCACACACAAATAGAGCAGAGGAATACCTAAAAGTCATTTAATGTAACACACCATATGTCATGGCTGAATGTGAAATTCACATTAAAACTCTACCCCCCAATTTGATAGTATTTGGAGATGGGGGTCTTTGGGAGGTAATTAGGTCATGAGGATGGAGCCCTGGTCCAATGGGATAAAGAGAGATACCAGAGCCCTGGCTGATGTGGATCAGTGGTTAGAGCATTGGCGCACGCAACAAAGGGTCACGGGTTCAATTCCCAGTCAAGGGCACATGCAGGGTTGCAGGTTCAATCCCCGGCCCACTGGGGTGCATGCAGGAGGCAACCAATCGATGCGTCTCTCTCACATCGATGTTTCTCTCTCCCCCTCCTTTCCACTCTCTCTAAAAATCAATGGAAAAAATATCCTCGGTTGAGGATTAATAACAACAAAAAAGCGGTAACAGAGAGCTCTGCCATGTGAGGGCTTCGGGGAAGGCGGCCTTCTACGGGTCAGGCAGAGTCTTCACCAAATTGGCCAGCACTCTAAACTTAGACCTTCCAGCCTCCACAACTTTAAGAAAGTAAATTTCTGTTTTTAAGCCACCCAGTCTGTGGTATTTTGTTATGGCAGCCCCAGCTGACTAAGACATCATATTAATAGAATACAAGGGAAAAAAACATGATCATCTCAAAGATGCAGAAAGATATTTGAGAAAAGGCAACACTCATTCATGATAAAAATTCTCAACACACTAGGAATAAAAGGGAACACAACCTGCAAAGGGCATCAATGGAAACCCACAACTAACATCACAATTAACAGTTAAAACTGAAGCCTCCTCTCTAAAACTGGGAACAAGGCACAGATGTCCACTCTGGCTTTTGTTCAGCATTATATCCAAGTTTCCCACCAGTGCAGTAAGCTAAAAAACAAAACCACTCCAGACTGGGAAGGAAGGAGTCAGTGTCTTTATTCAGAGAGAACATGGTCCTAAGCATAGAAAATTACTAAGCAATACAAAAGAAAATGACTAGAATAAAGGAGGTTAACAAGGCTAAATATATCAAAATCAACATAAAAATGAATTATATTTTATATGCTAGCAATAAGCAAACTGCAATTCCATTCATAACAGCACCAAAGAGAATATTTAGGAATAAACATAGAAGAAATGCAAGACATGTATGTGGAAAAATAAAATTGCTGAGAACAATTAAAGATGATCTAATTAAAAGGAAGAAGAGTCCACATTCATGGATTAGGCTTGATATTGATAAGTTTGTGTATTAGTTCCCCAGGGCTGCCGGAACAAAATACCACAAACTGTGGGGCTTAAAACAAATTTATTCTCTCTCAGTTATAGGGTCAGAAGTCCAAGACCAAGATGTTGGCAGTTCAGCTCTGGCTGCTGTGGCTTAGTTAGTTGGAGCATCGTCTCGTACACTGAAAGGTTGAGGATCTGATTCCCGGTCAGAGCACATACTTAAGTTGCGGGTTTGATCCCTGGCCCCAGTGGAGACATGTGCGGGAGGCAACCGATAGATGTTTCTCTCTCCTTTTCCCTCTCTCTAAAAATCAATGAACATGGCCTCGGGTGAGAATGGCAGTTCAAGGCCCCTCTGAAGGCTGAGGGGAGAGGCTGCCTTCCTCTCCCAGCTCCTGCTGGTGCTGGCGATTGCTGATGGGCCTCCAGCAGCTGTAGGGCTCCAGTCTCTGCCTCGGCATCTCCGTGTTCGGTCTGTTCAAATTTCTATTTCCTGATAAGGACGCCAATCAGCTGCCCTCCTCCAGCGAGGCTCCATGTTAACTTGCTCAAACTGTGAAAGGCCCAATAACAAGGTCACATTCACAGGTATCAGGAGACAGAACTTGAACATATTATTGGGGGGGACACAGTTCAACCCAATTAATGGCAACACCCCTCCCAATGTATCTACAGATTCGGCGTAGTGTGTGCCAAAACACCAGGAGGCTTT